GACTATCTGATAATCCAATTATTGAAAAGTTAATCACACAAAATGTCCACAAAAATCACATATTTGGACTAACTAGCCGCCGACACCCTCTAAATCCTTTTCCCTATAATCCTTCCTGCACATTCTTTGGCTGAGTCTTCCTATGCCAAGTCTTGTAGAGGGAAAATTAAAAGGTAATGCAGCTTCTCCTCTAGCATGCATGATCAAATTGGTTTTTATTACTGAGTTTAGAAAATATTGTGTATAGAAAACCTCCTTGTAAAGCACGCGACGTTTTATGATTTTACCGTTGCTTTTGGGAAAACCTCTACCAAGCTGCTTCGTCCGGAACGGTATGATTTCAGAGCGGTTCGAGTCTTCCTCTGCTCTGACCCCTGTTGGAATTGGCCCTATCCGTTACTCAGTTTGCTTTTCATGCCCTTATTTTTACCATGCATGAAATTCGGTGTCGACGCTGTCCACTGTGTTCCCATGAGTAACTCCTCCACGTCACTCGGATTACTGACGAGCTCAGGAGCCCATGGGTGTCTTCTCCGGCAGTTTCTCTTTCTTTTATGCATTTTTCCCTAGGTAAAATCTCAGTGTCTGTGATTGCAATGTGCCTGCAGACTTTCTGAGGACAAGACGTAACAGACATCCCGAGATACGGTCGGATTTGCGGGATGCGTAGAGCATGAACTTCCACACACAGAGGCACCTGCTGTGTGTAACCAGCTGCGGGTTTGAGCCACACACACAGGGATTCTCTACTGGCACGGCTCATGTTGGTAAAGAAAAACAAAGCATGATGTGCTGTTCCTTGTAGACGCCGTGTGATCAGAGGCAATCCCGGAGGACTGCGGTTTTATTTTGGGTAGGCGATGCGGCCCCAGTCCACCGTGTGGTTTCACACTCACGCTGACTGGAATAATTCTTTATAGATTGTTTATGGCTCCTTATAGTTAAACCTAATTCCTCATCCAGTAGTCACAGGCTGCCAAAGAACGTCCCCATCAGGACATGCCTCTTAGTTCCTCCCTCAGGTCTAACCAAGAGGGCCATGCTCTGGGCCTGCTTTTGGGGGGACCCCACCCTGGACTTGCTCTGCCACTGAGCCCCACCCCACAGCGCATCCCTGAGGCCAGGGCACGTGCCTCCTGGGAGCCCCAGAGCCCGCTCCACTCTGTAGATTGGGCCGGCACCCTGGGCCCAGGAACTCCCTGCTCACAGAGCGCTGAGCCCCTTGAGGGTCTGCACAAGCCCATCTTCCTTCTGAGGGTGGAGTGCACCACGGCATGAGCCCCAGGTCAATGAGGGCAGCTGGCAGGAGCTGTGGAAAGAGTGTGGACCTGGAGACCTGGAGCCCGGCAGTACACGCATGTGTCTGGGCAGGGGCCACTGGCATCGCCACAGGTCATGGGTGCCAGAGATGGGTGGGAGATGGGAAGTCTCCAGAAGGGTGGGAAGAGAAAGGAAGTGCCTCCAGAGGCTCAGAGAGCACAGGCCCTGATCACAGGGACCAGATGCTGCCCCTCCTAGGGCCTGCGCTTGGTGAAAGCTGGACCCTGTGGCTTCAGGCTTGGTTCAGCATTTTGCTCAGGGGTTCACTCTTGGCACATTTCCTCCTGCTGTCAGCATCTACCGCCCTACACCAGTCTTTCCCTTCCCTTCCTCTCGGGCTCTGTGCCTCGTTTGTCAATGCAACCCTTCTGAAAATTAAGTAGCATGACACGTATGGCTCAGGTCCTTACTTTCCTTTGAAATCCTCCAGCCAAGCCACTATTCAGTGTCTGGCCAACAGGGAAGCCAGAGATGCCCTGGTTCAGACCCTCCTGTCTGGGGGAGGCAGCCGAGTCAGGCTCGGGTGTGGACGTTGTGGCCGTGCCTGTTCCTCCTGCCATCAGTGAGCGGTGCCCTCCCCAGCCCTGTGCTCACTGGGCTTTGTCTTTGATGCCTCTCTGGGCCCAGAGTCTCCCTGGTGCCCTCCAGGCTCCTCACATTGTTCCCTGCAGGCTCAGGCTTCCCCCAGAGCTCCAGTGTCTGAGTGTGGGGTGAGGGACCCCCACCACTGGGCAGCCACAGAGGGTGGAGGGCATGGAGGTGGCAGCGGGAACTCTTCCCGGGTGACCCTGAATAGATGACATCTGTTGGAACACTGACAGAATATTTGCCTCTTTGGACTTAGCAAAGGGTAGAGTTGGTGACTGTTGGCAGCAGGGGATGGGAAAGGGGAGATGGTGGATGGGGGAAGCCTCAGTGGAAGATGGTGGATGGTGGGAAAGGGGAGATGGTGGATGGTGGGAAAGGGGAGATGGTGGATGGGGAAGCCTTAGTGGGAGATGGTGGATGGTGGGAAAGGGGAGATGGTGGATGGAGGAAGCCTCAGTGGGAGATGGTGGCTGGTGGGAAAGGGGAGATGGTGGATGGTGGGAAAGGGGAGATGGTGGATGGGGGAAGCCTCAGTGGGAGATGGTGGATGGTGGCTGGTGGCTGGTGGATGGTGGACGGTGGATGGTGGGAAAGGGGAGACGGTGGATGGGGGAAGGGCCTCAGATCTTCCCCTCTGGTCTTCCTTACTGACGCCAGGTGCCCCTGCTGTAGGGTGGGAAGTCAGGGTGGGGATCCCCGGACCAGGCGGAACAGCTTTTGGGGCAGTAACTCCAGGAGCATAGGTCAACAAAACTTCTCCAGGGCGGAAGCTGGCTTTGGGTGGGTGACCTCTGGGGCCTTGTCGGGATAGGCAGAGAGCGTTAAACAACCCACACAAGGAATAAGCAGGGACAGGTTCGGGAGCTCTAAGGGAATGGAGGACGTTGAAGGGGGAGAGGGCCCTGGGCCACCTGAGGTGGGGGAATTGCTAGTTGGGGGCGGAGGCTCAGAAGACAGAATCAGAATCTGCACTTCTGAGCAGAAGAGGATTTGGGGGCTTACAGAGGCACTGGAGGAGCTAAGAAGTAGAATTCACACTGAGTTTTAGACGCTGTTCCCAAAGCCTTGTCTCAGAAGTGGGTCCCAAGGAGACAGCTGCCTCTTTCTCACTCAGGAGCCTGGTGCATTAGGGGGCTGTCAGCCCAGAACTGGGTCCTCAGGAGGCTGCAGCTTTTGACTCTGGAATCACACAGCCTCATGCAGCCAGTGGCTGTGCCCCAGAACCTCTCCCGTGGCCTCGACGCTGTCCTTGCGACACCTTCTACCCGCCTCACCTTGCAGTTCCGGCGCAGGTGCATCTGATGGAGAGAAGCTAAATGCTGCGGTCACAGCTGCAGAGTCACGTGGGAGATGCGACTTTAGCCTTCAGCCTCTGTGAAGGAGATCGTCACACTGAAGATGGGAATGGCTATGGCCTGGCTCTTCCGGGGGCATGAAAAGGGGACAGAGAGGAGCTGGCTGGAGGAATAGAAATAGCCAAAGGGCTTCTTAAGATAAGTCTTCCTGAAATGAGCTCTTGGTTCTGATGCTGTGTGATAAGCCCTTAAACTTGGAGTAAAACTCTCCTGCAGGTGATGTCTGAGGACACTAAGGAAAAGTGCAAGAATGCTTCCTGTACACACTCATTTTAAACAAACTCAAGAAAAATTATTAATTTATTGTCTCCAGTAACTGAGAATTCTAAGAAGAGGATGGACTTCAGGCATGGTTGGATCTAGGTGCTCAACCCAGGCCTATCCTCTTTCTCTCTTGCCTTTGTTCTTCTTTGCGTTGGCTTCATTTTCTAGAAGACTCTTTCTATGTCCCACCCACCACTCCAGGCCGATGTAACATGTAAAACTGATAATCTCAGAGGGAGAGGGGTCCTATTTATTCCAGTGCTTGTATCAATCCTAGAAAAAGGAAGTTGGCTGCTTGGGACATGCACTGCCTTGTGTCCATTTGCTGTGTTCACGGGTGCAGGGTTCTCTGGACAGCCAGGCTGGTAATGTGCCCCGGACAGTGGATTGACAGACAGCCCCACTAGAATCATGCAGAGGGAAGCAGGCTGGTCTGCAAAGGCTCTAATTACAGCCGACAGAGGCCCCCAGGGTGTGCTTGGAGTGGCATGGGGCAGAACGAGGGTAGGTCACCCGTAGATATGAGGACCGAGGCAGGGCAAGCACGCAGGAGCCTCTCAGCAAGCCCAGACACCATGTGTCAAGGCTTCACACCTGCGCCCCCTGAGGTCTGGGCAGCTGGGTCTGGCTCCACAGGCGGCACCTGGTTTGATTCAGCTCACCTGAGTGAAAAGTACACAGTGACCCAGCCGGCAGCCAGGTCACTCGACACAATGCAAGGACCGTTAATCATTTCCTTGTCTCCGACTCCCGAGACGTGTCCTCTCATTGTAACTGGACCGATCTCCATTCTGCTGCTTTGAGGCCGGCCTGGGAACCACCCTCCTCGGGGCGCGGCAGTTGGCGCGTCTGAAGTTAGGGTTCCTGAATGGTGTTTTTATGATGTAGGAGATTTTGTCCGTTGATTCACTAAAGCCTGTATTCATAGACCCCATCTTTTCAAATATCTGCATCAAGAACACACTTAAAAAGGGTGAGAGACTGTGCCCAAACGTGGCCAAAGCTGAGTGACAAACACAACGATCCGTCAAAGGCAGCCTTTGCATTTGGAAAACAGGTTGTCATGTAAATATAAAGCAATGCCACTTTGCGCTGTGAGTTTCAGTGGCCTCTAGGTCCTCTGGCCAACACCTCAGACAGGACACAAAGTCCTGTGAGGGGCACCCTACCTCCGTCCAGCAGTGGGTAGGGTACACCGCATGGTGTGACTCCTGTGTGTCCGTGTGAACGTGCAGATGTCGTGATGTGGGTGCGTGTGTGGTGTGGGTGCGTGTGTGGTGTGGGTGCGTGTGTGGTGTGGGTGCGTGTGTGGTGTGGGTGCGTGTGTGGTGTGGGTGCGTGTGTGGTGTGGGTGCGTGTGTGGTGTGGGTGCGTGTGTGCCTGAATGCTGGAATAACAAGGAATGAGGGAGCATTGTGTGGGGCAGATACAGACTCACTCGCTACGCACTTCATGGAAGAAAACATACACACCTGCACTGGATTTTATTTTATAAAGTGATTCGTTACATCAGTTGTATTCAACCTTAATAAACTGCTCAGAAGTTACGACTATGCAGCCCTTAGCTGCAGAACGTGAGGTTTACATACTTGTGCAATACTTGCCAATAAAGTGAAAAAGACATATATATAAACATGTATATTTCTCAGTTTATGGGCATGCTGATGGCTACCGCAACCCGACAGAGCGTGGATCATGACGGAAGAATTCCTGCTCCTCGCAGGTGTCCCTTCTTTTCAAAACATGAGAACCATGTTTGTTATTGCTATAGCAACTTTCGACCGTCCAACGGACACCTCCACCCAGCCTGACACCCGCTCATAGCGTCAGCTGCAGGCCCCACTTCTTTGTTGAAGGTGCTGGGACAGGGACATGACCTCTCGCAGGAAGGGGAGTGAGGCTGGCGGTTCCCATCACAGCAGCCTCTGGGGCAGGGACTCTGGCCCAGGTGCAACAGCCGTCAGCTCCGGCCTGCAGAATGGGCTGGACAAGTAAATGCTGTGAGCATTAGATGTCATCCTGCTCAGGGCTTCTTACCTCACCACCCCTCCCACTCCTCCCTCAGGGCCTTAGCAAAGAATTTCCTCCTCCGCCTCCCCCCTTCCTCCTCCTCCCAATCCTCCTCCTCCTTCTTCTCTTTCCCCTTCTCCTCTCCCTCCCCCTCCTCCCTCTCCGCCTCCTCCTCTTTCTGGTCTTGTAAGACTTTTGGCCCAGTGCATTTCTTTCCATCATGTTTTGGCATATGTTTCAATTCTAAACTCCAAAGTTCCCAACTCCTTACATACAAAACAAACAAAATAATGTACTCTCCTGTTATTTTCAATTGAACATGTAGGGCATCACACACACACACACAGAGTGTGCAAGGGGCTTCAGACCACCTGCGTTCACACTGCCGTCGGTGAGGAGAAGCAGGAAAATGCCGGTGACCCCACCACTGGCTCTTGTGTGACGAGGTGCTTTTCCAGGACAAGGACTTCAAAGTGTTTCTTCTCATCTGGTCACAGCAAACCTACAGGCACAGGAAAGTAAGAAAGTAACAAACTGTGCAGTTCAGCAGAGAGGAGGGAGATGGTGCAGGTGATGGAGCAGGTGCGGGGTTCAGCCACGTGGCTACAGAGCTCTGGAGAAGAAGCAAGCACGGGACACTCCTGGGCTCGGGGACTGTGCTCCGGGACTGTGCCCCAGTCGGGCTGTTGGTGGTGTGCAGGCTGGTGTCACAGTGTCATGTCCAGAGTCAGGCTTAGTCTCTCTGTGTGCTAGCTCCAGCGTGGGCTTGAGCATGACCCCTGTGCTGGGGAGGGAGGGAGGGAGGAATGGCCCCTCGGCAGGCACAGAGTTCTTCTAGTTCTTCCTGAGCAAAGGCTATTAAAAGTTTGGCCAACACTGTTGCTGCCGGAAATATCCAAGTTATTTCCATGGCTCAGGGAGGTGCTGACTACCTGGTTCCAGGAACCTGTGAGCTCCTTAGTCACAAAACCCATATGCTTGCCTTTACACATTTTTATTTCTGTTTACCTGCCCAGCAAGGCCCTGCTGCTGTTGACACAATCCTTTTTCAGTTCGGATGAATAATAGCGTTTCATAGACAAGACATGTAAGCAGCTGACTCAATCGGGCACCCAGGTTTCAACCTGCACAGTTAAAAGAAAAGCAGGAAAACGCACCACAGGATCCATCAAAGCACACATTGTTTGGGAGAGGAGTTGAGAGCCGCTCACCTGCTGTGAAATCATACCCTCCCCACCAAACTGCAGACACACATTGTTTGGGAGAGGAGTTGAGAGCCGCTCACCTGCTGTGAAATCATACCCTCCCCACCAAACTGCAGACACACATTGTTTGGGAGAGGAGTTGAGAGCCGCTCACCTGCTGTGAAATCATACCCTCCCCACCAAACTGCAGACACACATTGTTTGGGAGAGGAGTTGAGAGCCCCTCACCTGCTGTGAAATCATACCCTCCCCACCAAACTGCAGACACTCATTGTTTGGGAGAGGAGTTGAGAGCCCCTCACCTGCTGTGAAATCATACCCTCCCCACCAAACTGCAGACACTCATTGTTTGGGAGAGGAGTTGAGAGCCCCTCACCTGCTGTGAAATCATACCCTCCCCACCAAACTGCAGACACTCATTGTTTGGGAGAGGAGTTGAGAGCCCCTCACCTGCTGTGAAATCATACCCTCCCCACCAAACTGCAGACACTCATTGTTTGGGAGAGGAGTTGAGAGCCCCTCACCTGCTGTGAAATCATACCCTCCCCACCAAACTGCAGACACTCATTGTTTGGGAGAGGAGTTGAGAGCCCCTCACCTGCTGTGAAATCATACCCTCCCACCAAACTGCAGACACTCATTGTTTGGGAGAGGAGTTGAGAGCCCCTCACCTGCTGTGAAATCATACCCTCCCCACCAAACTGCAGACACTCATTGTTTGGGAGAGGAGTTGAGAGCCCCTCACCTGCTGTGAAATCATACCCTCCCCACCAAACTGCAGACACTCACTTTCCTTTGTCAGCTTTGCCCAACACGTCACTTGCCGAGCTTCGAGGGACCATTTCAGCTCCCTGGTGTCCTCTAAACTTACTGTTGCCATTCACAGGGAGGCCTTTGCGGATACAAAGTGACTTGGCCAGGGGCCCTCGGCCGGTAACTTTGGGGCAGGGATTCGAACTCAGGTCTGTCTGCCTCAGAGTTTCTGGTTTCATTCCCAGGACATGCAACCTCCCACCCCCACGCCTGCCTCCGGGTTACAAATAGTCTTGATTCTTGCAGCTAGAGAGAAATTCAAGATATTACCTAATATTGTGAGGTTGGAAAAGGCAGGATGGTGTGTGTATACGTGTGAGCTCATTATTTTTTTGTAAAAAGAAAGTCTCCATACAGGAAATGAACACATATTAATAGAATGATCAGTAGGTGGGGGAGGGGCGGACTCTAGAGGGTATTTTATTAATAGAATGATCAGTAGGTGGGGGAGGGGCGGACTCTAGAGGGTGTTTTATTAATAGAATGATCAGTAGGTGGGGAGGGGCGGACTCTAGAGGGTGTTTTATTAATAGAATGATCAGTAGGTGGGGGAGGGGCAGACTCTAGAGGGTGTTTTATTAATAGAATGATCAGTAGGTGGGGGAGGGGCGGACTCTAGAGGGTGTTTTATTAATAGAATGATCAGTAGGTGGGGGAGGGGCGGACTCTAGAGGGTGTTTTATTAATAGAATGATCAGTAGGTGGGGGAGGGCAGATTCTGGAGTGTATTTTATTAATAGAATGATCAGTAGGTGGGGGAGGGGGCGGACTCTAGAGGGTGTTTTATTAATAGAATGATCAGTAGGTGGGGGAGGGCAGATTCTGGAGTGTATTTTATTAATAGAATGATCAGTAGGTGGGGGAGGGGCGGACTCTAGAGGGTGTTTTATTAATAGAATGATCAGTAGGTGGGGGAGGGGCGGACTCTAGAGGGTGTTTTATTAATAGAATGATCAGTAGGTGGGGGAGGGGCGGACTTTAGAGGGTGTTTTATTAATAGAACAATCAGTAGGTGGGGGAGGGGCAGACTCTAGAGGATATTTTATTATTTTTTCTGCTTCCGAGAGGATCAGCCAGTCCAGTACTCCACCTTAATATCTGTACACCGTCTCTATCCCAACAGGACATCACTGAGTCATTCATTAAACCCCACTGTGTGTGAGTCACTGAGGAAGTGGGGTTAGCAGAAGTGCCCCTGCTGAAGGCGACGTTCCTTCGTGACAGTCCCATGCTGAAGCCGCCGTTCCCACCTGGCTGCAGAGCTCTGGAGATGAAGGGAGTGACAACAAGGAGCTGAATGTGGAATTCTAGATGATTTTACTTAATTAACATTTAACTTAAGTAGCCCCTTGTGGCTAGTGGCTACTGTATTGGCCACTTCGGTTAGTAATAGGGATGCTTTCAAACACACATTTAAGTGAATCACAGGTGACGTCGCGTGTGCCCGTGTGACTCAGCCGACAGGGCCCGACCGCCTGCCACCTGTGCAGACCTTCTGGGGCTCACACACGGTGCAGACGGAGCGGGGCCTGAGCAGCTGCCTCGCCTGAATTGTGGCAGCAGCAGTGATAGCCCGAGCCAGCTTGAGAGAGTGGGTTTAATTACAGGGGCCAGAGGAGGGCAGGCACCGGCTGTCTTCTTTCCTTCTTAGCGACCTGGACCTGTCTGCTTCCAGCGACAGCAAACGTCTGATTGCTTCGTGACAGTCTCATTGACGAGGAAGTCATTTTTTGTACGACCTTCACCCAAGACACAATTTCCTGTTAAACATTTCAATATGACGACTGCCTTTGTGTTTAATGATTTTTTTTAGAAACAAATTTACTGACAGAATGAGTGCATGAAGATCCTAAAGCCTGGCCTTGGCTGCACCCTAAATGCCCCAGCAGTGAGCGGAGGAGAGCCCAGCCTGGCCCTCCTAATGTGGCTCTGGTCCCGAACTTGGTGCTTCTAATCCTGGAGCACAAGAGCTGCGATCACAAGCTCCTGTGTTCTCTCTAGGATCTTGGTGAAAGCAATGAATGTGTCCCTTGCTTTGCTTTTGCCCTAGTGGCCTGTAATGGTCACCATTCCACTTAAAAGCTCTTGCAAACCTTAACTGGGAAAGCCCTTCTGTAGCAACATGGACAGAAAGACAAAGTCTGCGCTTCCAGTCCTTCTGCATTTATGTCTATACTTGTAAGTGTAGTCGTTTATATATTGGGGAAATTAACGCAGATGGAAGTTAAAACCACAGCCGAAGCCCCAGGAGGTGCACATTTTGAAATATTAAGAGCACAGAGATTCATTTCACTGTCTAGGGAGCAGGTGCTCTGCTTGGGCAGAGCGGTACTGAGTCCGCTGTGTGCCCAGCGGGGGAGCCGGAGTCACGCCTGTCAGATGGGCCTGAGGGCTGTGGACAGCGGAGGAGCGAGTCAAGGAGTGCGACTGACAGCCATCGCCCTGGCTGCGAGGTGTCCACGACGTGCTCTTAGACGCAATGGCTGTGAAGTGGGGAAATCATGAGTGGCCGCCCGGGGGGGGCCTCCCTGGCCAACATCTCTGCAGTTGCTGCTGTTGGCAATTTCAGTCGGTCCCGGGCACCTGGATCCAAGTCAGTTTCCTCTTCACCTGGCCCCCACACCAGGGTCCTATCTTGCCAGGATCCTGGAGGCTCACCCACTTCTTCCCAGGATGGAAAAGGCATCTGATGAGGAACTTGTTTGACAGGTGAGAGGCACAGAGTGGAGGAGTGGTTCACATGGAGCCAACGGGGCACCACCCACAAGGCCGGCTCCAGGGCCCCCCGAGACTGTGGGCTCAGGGAGCTCCTGGCCCCCACCTCGAGGAACACTGACCTCGGGCGCTGGTTCCCAACCCGGCTAACCACCAGAACATCTCTCAAGGAGCTTTTACAAAGTACCGCCACCTAGGACACAACACAGGTTATTAATTAAATAAGAACTTCGGGACGTGCCTTTAGGTATTTGCATTTTCCTAAAAAGCTTCCTAAACGACTCAGTTTTTCAGCCAAAGTTGAGCAATGCTGGTGTCAGATAGAAAACGTGACTAGATTAGAGTCTCAGGCTGCGTGGAACCAGCGGTGGGTGGGGACTTCCTCCTCAGCGTCCTCTGTGGTCTCACAATCACTGAGGACCCCACATAATTTGTTTATGTGAATTATATGTCAGTACTTACCATATTAGGAATTAAAACCGAGAGTATTTTCAATATTCTAATTCGTTTTAAAATAACAATAATAAATCCATTATGTATAAACATAATAACATATTTTTATTAAAGCCAACTCTATTTTTCAAAAGAAAAGAAATTAGTGAGAAGACGGGCACTAATCTACATGTGTGTCAGTCTCCGTCTGGCTCAGTGGGAGGCAGCCGGGCTCACACAGCTGCCTCCGCATCCCACCTGCTATGGTGGGTTCTGGGGAATGTATCGGAAAATCCAGACACGTGTGTGTGTACATACATATATGTGGGGGAGAAGGAACATTTTAAGAACTTTTTTGGATTAATATGGATATTCTTACTTTAATCTTCACGAAACCCTGAAAAGTGATAGTTTGTAAAGTGATTCACGGCGATACCCAGTCCGAAGCCGCGGGTGAGCACGTCCTTCTCTCCTATGCTAACGTTCATTTGTCCGTCTTGCCCATCGAACGGGCCTTTTTCCCAGGCTGAATTTTGTGACTTTGTGTATTCACCGTTTGGAAAACATCGGTTTACGGAGATGGGCAGATCTTCCAAATGCAGACGTCCCCGAGGGACTGAATATACCAAGGCACGCTGGGCCGGCCACAGAAAAACCCAAACTGACCCACCCCTGCGGCAGCCTGCCCAGGAAACCTGACCCTAACCTGGTATCTGCAGACGCCAGCCCCACAGTGCAGCCTGCTGTCTAGGAGTCAGGACTGCAGGAGGTGGGACAGGGACCCTGCCACAGCTGACCCACGACAGTGAAGCTGACTTCACTGTTTCCCTGCTTCCCACTCAGCGCCAACCAGAGAAAGCCAGATACACCCTTGGCCAGTCCCGTAGGATGCTCCAATTCCAGTGAAGTGCCTCCAGCGTCCCCAGAAGCAGCCCCGGGCAGGGCACATCTGGGGCCTGTAGTCTTCTCATCATAAATGCCCCCACCCCTGCCTTTGAGTCTCTACAGGACACACACCCGCAACCCTGCCTCTGAGTCCCTGCCGGACACACACCCCGCACCCCTGCCAGACATGCACCCGCACCCCTGCCTCTGAGTCCCTGATGGACACACACCCCGCACCCCTGCCTCTGAGTCCCTGCCGGACACACACCCGCATCCCTGCCAGACACGCACCCGCACCCCTGCCTCTGAGTCCCTGACGGACACACACCCCGCACCCCTGCCTCTGAGTCCCTGCCGGACACACACCCGCATCCCTGCCAGACACGCACCCGCACCCCTGCCTCTGAGTCCCTTACGGACACACACCCCGCACCCATGCCTCTGAGTCCCCGCCGGACACACACCCCGCACCCATGCCTCTGAGTCCCCGCCGGACACACACCCCACACCCCTGCCTCTGAGTCCCTGCCGGACACACCTCACAGTGGTGACCAACGCCCCCACGGCAGCAAGCCCCAAATACACAGCCTCTGCCTGTTCTCACTGAGCTGGTCTTTGTTTCCACACTTTCATTAGACACTATAAAAAACCACGGTTGTTAACCTCGCAAAAACGCCTCTAAATATCGTAAAACTGTCAAGCTCAAGGTGCTGAATAAAAGTGACCCAAAGTCTAACTTTTATCAAAAGCTCAGATTTT